ATAGATTACTCGATTACTAAAATATTCGTTTACAACAGCCCTAGCTTTGACTTTCAAGTCTCATTTAAGGTTAATTTGAGATTTATTTCAAACATGATAAAACATACTTATAATAAGAAAGACACATCCCTGTTTACCTCTATTTCAAAAAGTGAAAAGCATATTTTTTTGTTGATTTTATTAATGATAAAGAATTTATTTTTAATATTTTATTGACTAACAAGCTTCCAGGCTTTGATCCAATTTCTGTCCAAAGAGGGAGATATTTACTGTCTACTCTAGTAGAGTACATTTGTGTCAACTGCCAAGAAAGTAAACTAGAATTAATTTTTGAAAACTAAACAATTGGTCAAAGAAGTGCCTCATAAAGAAATTAGAATTGTCTCACAAGAGAATGTATGGCTACAAATTATCAAAACATTCCTCATTATCATTTGATTTTAACTAAGATTTTACTTCTGCTGAACAGAAGTCTTTGTTAAATTGTGTCCTCTAAAAAGATGTTTAAAGAGAACCTGAAACCGCTCCAGTGGATGCTGCTGGAGGTTTGATGAACAGGACACCATTAGGCATTATTACACAGCTGTCAGTGTAAACACCGCTGTAGAAATGAAAAGTGTGACGCATCGTACCGCTCTGATGTAGAATTGTAATTTCTGTGGCCATTGTAATTAATCACTGAGAGCTTTTCCTAAAGTGCTGAACCTGACTTACTCGTCTGTTCTCCCCTCGCCATCTGTCTTCCTTACATCCTCTCATTTTCTTTGGTGCTTTTCATTTTTCGAGTCTCCATCATCTTCCCTCTTTGCTATCAGTCCTGTTGCTATTATGTGAAAAGTGAAAACTTTACGTCTCTACAAAGCCTCATATTCATAAATTGGGGATAAAACGACAAGCCAAAGTGACACTGATGGTTTTTGTTCTGACACTGGGATGTGAATAAATTAGAAGTGGAGCGATAAAACTTTGTCAGCTGCTAGAAATTATATATGAACATGTGTTTCTGTCTGAAAAGGTGAAGCTGGAGGATTTATCATGGGAGAACATGCTGATGTCTTCTCTTCCGTAGCATAGCAACCAATTTTTTTCAATGTCTATTTTGTTTCAGCCACATTTACAGTAGATACTAGCAGATTTGTTTTAGATTGTAGCCTTGAACATACATTGAACCTCTCCTCTTGCCTTTTTTGTTGCTTTTGTCCAGATTTGCAACATCATGAATGCTGCTCAGGATGAGTTTTTTAATTTCCAGGTGAGAAAACATTTTTCAGTGTTTGTTCCTGAGGTTTGAATCACTTAATGTTCAATTATAATCTACAATGGAGTTTAGACCCTTACATACCCATGTCATCCACACAAACATCTTGTGAAGTTTGAACTTTTAAGGACTTATTTGAATACTTCTTTTACGGAGTACATTGAATTTACCCCAGTTAATATCAGCGCAATTTAAAAACAGGCAATATGAATTTATTATGAATTTTGTAAAATATACACTGTCAAGATTATACATTCATTGCTAAATATATGCATACATTTGTACTAACATATGTCTGCTATCAAGTTGAGAAAGCACATGTTTTTGTACAGAAACATCGGCCTTAATTCTGGATAAATGTTTGATCTTCTTGTCAGAAATGTTAGCTGGTCGGTTTCTTTCTTTAAGCATAACCCACAGATTTTAAATAGAGTTGAAGCTGTACAGTGTTCTCATGTCTGAAGGTCTCTCCAGTATTTGGGAATTGTACTGTCTGATTAATAAGAATACCTTTTAATATTAATTCATTGTGTCACATTTCTAGTATATGCTCAAAATTTCAGCACATATGCAAGTATATGAAAAGTGTACATAACAAACATTAAAATCATTTCCATATTATTGTGAAAATGTCTTAGCTGTACAGTATATTCATTTTTTTTTATTTAAGAAGGATTTATATGGCTCTGATAATATTACGTATTAAAAATTCAAAGCCTCCCTTTAAACAATGTTTCCTCTTAGGTAAGAATCCAGATGTAGCCTGTGTTCTAAAATAAGGTGCATTATTTTATGTCTGTGCGTGTGGCTGTATCTTTATCTGCAGACGGAGCCGCTGGACGAGTCTGGCTGGACCATTAAGAACGTCCTGTCCATGCCAATTGTCAACAAGAAAGAAGAGATAGTGGGCGTGGCCACGTTCTATAACAGGAAGGATGGGAAACCCTTTGATGAAATGGATGAAACGCTGATGGAGGTAAAGGTTCTGCGTGTGTGTGTGGCTGCACTGAGTCACTGGTTTATAAATACACTACAGGCCATTCAGACGCTCTGCATTATTTATCAGTGAGCCTGAGGGCTTTCCACCGACGGTTTACTGTTTGTGTAACTCACAAACTTAAGTCATGGCAGTTTGATCTTCAGCAGTATTTTCTCATGAAATGAAGCTTTTAATTCTTAAGTCATCTTTAGCTTATTGTCTGACTAAGAACATTTTACTATATGGATGAAGTCAAATTTAGGAAACTCTTTATTTCTATTTTTAATGAAGATCCTGAAGCTGTAGTTGCAGGAAAAAGAGACTTTCTGCATATTCCATCAGGAAATTATGCTCCACTCCTCCATAACATTAGTTTAATTTTATTGTTTTGCTGTGAAATCTACTCAATAGGGTTAGGGCCTGCACTTTGACTAGGACGTTGGAATATCTTCATTCTTTGCTTTCTCAGCCCTTCTCTTAAAGAATTTTTGTTCAGTTTGGGTTAAATGTCATGTTGATAACCCACTTTGGACACAAGCTTCAGAAGTCATAAAGATGAGCTCATGATTGACTTAACAACATTGTAAATCCCCAGGATTTGTGGAAGTTAGGGACCACAACTACCCAAGAATAGCTGAAGTGCACAAATACTTAAGATCTCCTCTAAAAACACATGCAAATACCTATTTAAATTGTTCAAACACTAAATATACCCTAGCATGGATGCATATGCTCAGTGGAAAACATTATGGCACTTGCACAGAAATTAATATTTACAGTGGTCCTTATCTCTTCTCTTGAGGGTGCAGCCAATAAAACTCAAAGACAATTAATGGTCCTCTTGGCACCTTGGTGATTGGCTGATTTGCAAATAGAGTGTCAAGTAGCATTGCATTAGTTTATCAAGCTGCATTCTGTTTTGAATTTAGTTAATTTAATTCAATTCAAACTGGCTTCTCAAACCTAGATTGAACTGTTGTCAAATCTTGTTTATCGACTTGGATTTTTTAAGTAATGGCTTATTGATTATTTTATAATTTATTTGCTCATTTTTGTAAGGTAACCTTGGATCTTAGAAAGACACACTCAAATAAAATGCATTATTGTTATCATTATTAGAGCAACAAACCACAAAGCAAGTGTTCCTCTTTGGAAACAACAGGAATTTGCTTCTTCTTCCCCAGTTTTGTTGAAATCGTTTCAAATTCTATTACTGTACATCAGACTTAGAAAATTAAAATTCAAACATATTTCCAAAATATTTTTTTAAAGGGCAAGATCTAACGTGACTGTTTATAAGACCTGTAATACAGCAATAAACAACAAAATGGTCAAAATGACAAGTAAATGAACAATTTATATTAATTAAGCAGCGGCTTTCAGTTGCACAAATGTTGCTAAATGTAATTTTTTCCACCAACATTTTGGAACACCAATTCTATCGTGTGTAGAAAGTGAGACGTGCATGCTGTTTCTTACTACCCAACTCTCTGTCACACTTGTGTCCAGTCTCTGACCCAGTTCCTGGGCTGGTCTGTGCTGAACACTGACACATACGACAAGATGAACAAGCTGGAGAACAGGAAGGACATCTTCCAGGACATGGTGCTGTACCATGTCAAGTGTCGCAAGGACGAAATCCAGAACATACTGGTTAGTAAATAAATTAACGGAAAGAGGCCTGGTGTTCATTGTCAAATCGAGTAGAGGGGGGATGTTAGCAGAGGGCACATTTAAAATAGACCATTTTATTAAAAATGTTTAAATTCTACTAGAATCCAACAGTTTTCCATGCTTCATGTCCCTTAAGAGTAACAACTGTGAAACTGATGGATGAGAAAGAAATTAGTTTTAGGACAAAAATGGTTTGATTTCTTGCTAAACACAAAATAAATGATTTTGTAGATCGATGATTTTTGCATTTAAAAATACCACTATTGTGATTTCAATTATTTCTATTATTGTATTAAAGCAATGCTATGAAATCATAAAAAAATCAGTTTCACAAGACTGTGTGACACTAAGAATTTCAAAACTCTAAAAACTGAAACAGAATCAACCAAGTCAGTTTGGAAGCAGCTTTTTGATGTAGGTGATATAAAATGGAGGCAAGCATCATCTATAAGATGAAATAAGCTGTCAGATTTTCTATGAGGTGATTTGTCAGGGGGTAGAAAGAGCACAAAAGCTAAGGGAGATCACCTATTTTGACCTTAGATCAGGAGTGAGCTGATTGATGCTGTACAGTTTCATCCAAGGTGAGTGTTTATGATGTATGTTTCTGCAGGACACCAGAGCGAGATGGGGAAAAGAGCCAGATGAGTGTGAGGAGGAGGAACTTCAGGAGATTCTGGTAAGCACTGAGCATGTCATTAAAGGAAAAAAAAACAACAACATGCAATATGTAGTATGAATATATAGCAAGGATTCATACCTTCCTGTCTAACTTGTAATTTCAGTTGCAGAGTGACAAGGCTTTTGCATCTTTTCTGGTGTTGCATCCAGAAATTTCAATGTGTGTTGCTTAGACTTCTAATTTGTGTTTTACTGCGACAGACCAACAGGAAATGGCACATAACTGTGGATGGAATATGACACATTATTTTAAGCTTTTACTACACAAAATCTGAAAACTGGAGTTTTTGACTTCATCCTCCTCTGAGTAAACGCTACAGCTACATTTTTCCTATTCTTCCTTTCAATATGGCTCAAGCTCAATCAGATTTTATTAAAAGAATATGCAATCATTAAATTTCAACTCAATTGAGCCTACGATTCTCAGTTGAATTTAGGTATTGTTTTTGACTTGCCCATTCTAAGACATGAATATGCTTTAGGGTAACATATAACATTGTTGCTCTGGTTTTGCTAAATTTTCACCCCAGATCTAAGTTTTCTTTCAGGCCTGCCCTGTATTCAGCACCATCCATCTTCTGATCCATTCCCTGACCATCTTGAAGAAAAGCGCTCCCTACAGCATCTTGCTGCCACCACTATATTTCACTGTAGCATTTGTGTGTTTATTGCCTTCCTCCACATGCTTCCTGTTTCCCCTACATGGCTTGTAGCAAACTGTAGCTTTTTCTTTTAACAGTGGCTTTCCTTTTCAGTTCCTGAAAGCCAGATTCATGGAGTGCACTACGAATAACTGTCCTGTCAATGGACTTATGCAACTTTTAGAGTTAACATGCATTTGTTTGCTTTCCCCTGATTTATGCTCTCCTGGATAAGGAAAGTGGAGAGACTTACTACAAATGCTCATTGTTTGTTTTCAGTTCTTTTTTAGATTGGAAAAACACACATCTTTGTTCTGTCTCTTCAAAAATGTCTTACATGTACTAGTCTGTCACATAATATCAAAATATATGATACAGAGGTTTGTAGATTAAACATTAAACAAATCTTCAGATGTAAAATGTTCATATTTATGTTTTATTCCACAGTCTGAAGTTCTGCCAAACTCTAAGAAAGCTGAGATCTTCGAGTTTCACTTCTGTGACTTTGATCACAGTGAGCTGGATCTGGTGAAATGTGGCATTAAGATGTACTATGAGCTGAAAGTGGTGGACAAGTTTCACATTCCCAGAGAGGTCAGTGTTCTCTTCACTGGTACTGCTGCATGTCTTAATTATTTTTAGTGCTAAGATGGAGGAAATTCTTTCTTGGCACAGAATTTTTAACATCAGAAAGGCAACAGGACTCTGCAACACACTGACATTTTCTTTAAAAACAACAGTTTGTGTTCTGAAAGTTGCAGCTGTAGCGTTAGACATGTTCTAGCACTATTTTTTTTTTTTTTTTTTTTTTTGCTAATTTTACCCAACTGGATAATCCCAAGGCTCACAGGGCCAAAACTAGAATCTCTACAAAAGGGCTGAATGGAGGTTATGCAACGTATTTTCCTAAGTGTGTTGCAAGCAAATCTTAAATTTATTTTTAAGAATTACTTGAAAGTACAATGAAGTTACCAAACAAACTTTATGATAATATCAGCATCAATGTGCGTAATTAAAAAATGAATTTAAAAAATGCTAATATTTTCCCAGCTGTGCAGTCTTCATAAGAGCTATGATAATACATAAGTAATTCTAGCAACAATGCAAGCTTTATGCATCATACATCAGTGTTTTAGAATATGAGCCTTACCTTATTTTAACTTTCTTTTTATTGCACAGGCTTTGGTGAGATTTATGTACTCTCTCAGTAAAGGCTACAGGAAGATCACCTATCACAACTGGAGACACGGATTCAACGTTGGACAGACCATGTTCACTTTGCTGATGGTCTCACACAGCTAATCTGACTCATTCCTCCACCTCCTTCCTTTTTCCTTCCTTCCCTGAGTGCTCATCAGTTCCTCACCTCATGCTCCCCTTCCTCCTCTCAGGCTTTACACCCACTCTTTCATTTAGTCTGCCCTTCATTTTGTCCCTGATTTAAGGTGATAAAGATCATTTCTTCCCTTCCCTCCTCTTTCTCAGTCTTTCCCCCTCTGTGATTCCCTGTAATGTGTGGTAAATAAGAGCATGAATGGGATAGTTTTTATGTGCATTTGGAAGACTAAGAAAAGAGAAAACGACAAAGGTAATGGACTATGTCTTCAAATGAGAAGTCTTGTCTGAATAGACCATTATTTATTGTCATTGTTCCAACAATCTGGACCTGTAAGGAAAACTCTTATTTGTTCGTGAGACTGAATCATGTGTAGTTCTTTGTATTGCTGACCCTGTTTTAACCCCGCATTTCTATTTCTGTCTGACTGTTGGGTTGTTTGTGCTCTCAGACAGGTGATCTGAAGCGTTACTACACAGACCTGGAGTGCATGGCAATGGTGACTGCTGGATTCTGTCACGATATCGACCACAGAGGAACCAACAACCTGTACCAGATGAAGTAAGAGCTGCAGGACTGAGGGGGAAACGGCACAGAAGCATGATGGGATTAATCTGCAACTAGTTTCATAAGCTAAAAGAGGACTGCCATCAGAACATTTACTTTGACTTTCATCATGTGCAATGCCAGTCAAATGTTTAAATAAAGTGAAAGTAAAAGGAAAAAAGGGAGTAAATAACTATTTAAAAAAAATAATAATGTAAAATCAATAATTAGGTGGTGGGTGAGACATGGATACACTTTGGTGTTCCAAGAAGACAATGATCTAAAATAAATACTTAAAATATTTTTGAGCAGATTAAGCTGGTGACTGCAAACATATGATTTCAACATGTGGAAAATTTATGGATTGTCCAGGAAGCCCGAGATGCTCAATACATGCTTAAAAGTTGTTATTTCCAACAGGTACTTTTGATTTAACAATCAAACCTTATCTTTACTCAGACTGTGAGTTATTGAAAATATGTATTGGAGCACATAATTTTCACCCTGTGAGGATGAGAGAAACTCCATTATAAATTCAAACCTTTGCACTCAATTCTTTTTTTTTCTTTGTCATTAATTGAGTTGGATGCTGTTCAGTCATTATGTGACAGAAAACAATTGGTTCAAATGAAACCAGGACTGAATGAAAAATTAAAAGGAGTGTTTTCAACTCACAACCCAGGCTTGTGCGATATAAATTTTAATCAAAAATTGTTTCATTAAATCCCAAGAATGGAGTATAATAAATAGTTTTGATTTTTTGTTGTTGCTGTAATGACCCACATTCTTCATGAGCAAACACTACATCCAATAAAACTTTGTTGACATCAGATTGTTGAGTTCCTGTGAGCCAGTTTGATTGAGTCAGACATACAGCTGTCACTCCTTCTGTCCTTCATTAGGATGACCTGATCTTGGTTCTTTAGGTAAAGGTAATGACACACAGAGGACATCGGTTATCTGTTATTGACTAGATACGCCTCCAGCTGCTGCGCTCCACCTGCTGATGGATGAGCTAATGAGTATTACCATTAGCTGTGAACACATGAGGCCAGGCCCTCTCTGAGCTTTAACATGCATGATTTATCACAGTATAACCTCCCTTCATGCTGTTTGTGTGCGTGTCTCCAGGTCGGGTAATCCTCTGGCCAAACTTCACGGCTCCTCCATCCTGGAGAGACACCATCTGGAGTTTGGCAAGACTTTGTTGAGAGATGAGGTACGTTGGCCCGTGATCTTGCACACCTGATAGGTCACCTGTAAGTAATGCAGTTTTGAAGGTAAAAGTAAGAAATTTAACCCAAACAGTTATTATGCATCATTTTTTTTTTGCTTTCATTTTTTGCTTCCCACAAAAGGAATGGTTGATTTACAACTTCTCATTTTGTTCCTGAAAAATAAACTCATGTAATATCCTCAACCAGGCTTCTTATACCCCAACCACTCAACATATTCTCCTTCTCCTCGCCTGAGTGACATGTTGGTACCATCATTTGAAGAGACGTTTTCTCTTGTGTTCCAGGCATTAAACATTTATCAGAATCTGAACCGCCGCCAGCATGACATCGTCATCCACCTCATGGACATCGCAATTATTGCCACAGACCTTGCTCTTTATTTCAAGTCAGTACAAAAATATAATTTTGGTAACTCTTTATTTGAAGGGGGGTGAATAAGACTG